GTCAAGAAAATAAACACCCAGCTTTGGATAATCCTTGATGCTCCATACCAGTGTGAGATCCCTACCCAGAACACCCAAAAAATGCCATGGCGTCGCTGAACAGAAGATAGGAGAGAGAGAGAGAGGGGGGGGGATGGAAGCCAGAGAAAGAATAGGGAAGGTCTCCAGAAGGAGAAAAGGAGAGAGAAGACAGATGTAAGAGAGATAGAGAGAGACGGGTACCTGGAGAATAGGGCATGGTTATCGTCGGCGGCATCGGTGGTGACTGGCGTCGGGGTTGCAGGCCTGGCTTCGGCAGTAGCTGGGCAGACGCGAGAGAAAGAGGAGAGAGGAGGCGGGGGAGGGAGTTGAGGAGAGAGAAGAGTGGGAGAGCTCTGAGTGGAGGCGGAGAAAAATAAGAGAGAGGGATATTAACTGGTGTGCGGCAGATCCACGGCGGAGTAGAGGGAGAGCCGCAGCGAGAGAGAGAGTTAGGGCTGAGGAGACAGTCACGTGAGAGAGAGATACCAAAATTACGGATCAAAATTTTATAAAAGGGAAAAATCTCACTCTGCCTCATGAAAGATACCAAAATTTTAATTTGTACCCTAAAAGTTTGATTTTCCCACATTACACCCTAAATTATGCAAATATGTTGCAAAGCGTTAAACCCTTTATCATGATGCAACGGTGATACAATGTTATCATTGATAACATAATATCATCAATCAATAATAAAACTTCAAATAGGCAAAAGGGTGAGAAGAATTATTTGCTTACAAGATAGATTAGTTATTAATTTTTGTGAGATCCATTTACTTATTTATTTTAGTATTATTAATTGGTGATATTATATCACCTTGTCATGTGATATCACCATTGTAATAAATATTTTTTCCTTTATTAGGGCCTGCTACTTCTTCTAGGGACCTCAAGTGTATCCTTTAAAGTCTTAATATAGATATTACTTAAATTTTATCAGGAGGATCTCGCTTTGCACCTTAAAAAATTTAATAATTTTTACTTTATATCTTAAAAGATTAAATTTTGTATATTGTACCCTCAATATATTAAAAGTGTTATAATGTGATCTTTCTATTAAATTTCATTATTTTTTCCATTAGTGTCAAAGGGGTGATTTTTGACATAAAAAATAACGAAAATAAACAAAATGGTCATATTGCAATACTTTTGATACACTGCGAGTATAATGTAAAAAATTACATATCTTTAAGAGTATAAAATAAAAATTTAAAAATCTTTCAAGATATAAAGTGCAATTCACCCCGACTTTATATTATAGCATTTGACTCCACATCCTTTTCTATGGAAATTAAAATTCGTATATTCAAGCTAAGCTCGTCGGAAATTGGACTTACTTTTCAAATTATGTTTTGATCCTTCGATTTTTTCGTTGATTTTCATCTTGAAGTTCAAAAATTTTCAATACGATTCCTCTAACTTGGAAGGGGGAAATTGCACCCAAAAAATAAAAAAAAAAGAGCATTTGAAAGAAAAGAATTGAAAGAGTTAGTTGGCCTAATCCAGTATAAATGCAGTTCAATTTATGTTTCAAGGTAAAGGTATTTAATAGGAGTCAATCTATGTGGTAGATTGTAGAAACTTTCAATAAATGCAAAGATTATGGAAAATCCAAGCAGTTAGAAAGTTAGTTTATGCCTTAAATTAGCTTGGGGTTCTTGACTAAATCACTAAGGTTGAATTACTATAAAACACACCCATAATCCTTCCTGGTACTTTGCCATGGTTGTCTTCCTCCTCTGTATATGATCATGATGACTACCAAGTTGATCTCATCTCACTTGGCATTTCTTTGCATTGTGTTTGTCACCCTTGTGGCTCTTCATGATTGTAAGTATTTTATTTCTTTTGGGTTTATTTTTTATTTTTTTGANTTTGCATTGTGTTTGTCACCCTTGTGGCTCTTCATGATTGTAAGTATTTTATTTCTTTTGGGTTTATTTTTTATTTTTTTGAGCTTTTATTTTCTTGCTCTATTTTCTCATATTTTTCTAGTTATACTCTCTTTCATTAATAACCAAGTGTAATGAAATAGAGGTAAGTAGTTAGGGGGTATTAATCGAGATGAACTATTCGGGCTTAANTTTTTGAGCTTTTATTTTCTTGCTCTATTTTCTCATATTTTTCTAGTTATACTCTCTTTCATAATGAAATAGAGGTAAGTAGTTAGGGGGTATTAATCGAGATAAACTATTCGGGCTTAGCTCGAGTTCGACTAGTATTCTAAATGAATTGAATTTGAATAATTTTTTAGACTCGTTTAAAAAAAACAAGTCTAAACGGCTCGGCTCATTTATATGTCAAATAATCAAGCTATTCAGGTTTGATTTAAGTTTGACTTGACTCCTTTTCTAAATAATCTGAGTTTGAACAATTTTTTAGACTTGTTTAAGAAAATAAGTTCAAGTTCGTAAAGTTCGGCTCAATTAATATTTCTATTAGTGGTTGACGTAAGCAAAAAGTAAAAGAAAAAAAAGAAATAACCTATTGGTAGAGTCGGAGGCCCTTCGGCTTGCCGGATTATGGGCTGCCAAAGCCAGCCGACCTCGTTGGCCTCGTGGAAAGTCATTTAAAGCCAATAGGTACGGGCCTTAATTCACTTTCTACAGTTATTTATTTTATTTTTTTTGAAAGGCCTTCCGCACAAATTGAACAGGTAGCGAAGGCAAAACTGATGGGAACGTTTCAGAGCCAAGAGAGCTCATGCCTGGGCACCTGAAAGAGGGAAAACAAACACCCCTAAAAAAATGCATCAAAAAGACCTGCAAAGGAAAAGCATGTTGGTGCTGCCAGTCGAAACCAGCAAAAGGATGCTGGCCCAGGTTCCTATATTGTCTCACTCTCTGCCCTGTCCTGCCTCCTACTAGTGCAGGGCCGACTCAATAAAATTTGGGGCCTAAGCAAAAACTTTAAGCAGGAACCCTTTACAAACTTGTCATAAATATGTGTTATTTTATGGTTATTCTATTTTTCAATGTATTTTGAACTTAAAATCAGAAGAGAGAGAGGGGGAGGCAGGATTTGTTTACGTAAATATATTTGTATATGCCTTAATTACGGAGAGTGATTGAATTGGATTGACAATAAATGAAGAGGGGCGGTGTGATCTTTTAGGTGAGTGATGTCAGATATGACTGTTGAGTTGGTGCGATAATGTAAAATTTAAAGAAAAGAAGAAAGAATTTGATTTTGTATCTTTTTGGTACTTTTATTCCATAATATTCGAACTAGATTAACTCATATTATAAAGACCAAAAATATAATTTAGGGTCCGGAGGGCCTAAGCAAGCATTTCACTTGGTTATGGTTTAAGCCGGCCCCGGGCGTGTACCAGTGCTCAGACACCATTTTCAATTCCTGTGGCTTCCCCTGTGGTGGAGAGTACTATATATATTTTCCATGTGTTTATATACATAATTATGTATGAAGAATGAAGAAATAGCTCATGCACATGAACCCACAAAAAATAAAGCTCATGGATAAGTTTTGTGCAACTACATTTAGCTTTTTAAAACATTGCCAAAGCCTGTTAATTAATTTCTAATTCTACTTCTCCACCAGTTTTAAATTGTTGAAGCTAATGTCTCTTAAACACTTATATGAATGATACGAGTAGGAGTGATAATTTCTGACAGAAAACGAAAATATGATTCGAATTTGACACAAAATTAACAGGTTATGGTTAATCATTTCTTAATACGAACTNGTTTTAAATTGTTGAAGCTAATGTCTCTTAAACACTTATATGAATGATACGAGTAGGAGTGATAATTTCTGACAGAAAACGAAAATATGACTCGAATTTGACACAAAATTAACAGGTTATGGTTAATCATTTCTTAATACGAACTTGTAATTTTTTTTTTTTTTTTTTGGGGGGGGCTAAGAAAGGTAGGAGGACTTGAACCCTTGACCTCGAAAAGATAAAATCTTCACAAATCAAAGAGTACCATTAGACCAAAGGCTATAAGACGAACCCGTAAATAATACGACTCGTTAACATGAATAATAAATGAGTTCACTAACCACGAACAATACAAAATTGACATAATTAACACGTTTAACTAATAGTATAGAAATAAAATGCTAATTATTTGTTATTGTTTATTAAGCATTGACATAATCATTGTACAAAAAAAAAACATTTTTACTTAATATTATTGTTATTTTTATTAAGTTAATTTTAAATTTATAGAAAAAGTATGAACATGAATTCAATTAATTGATAATAGAATCTTAAACTTAAATCTTAGCATTAAGTTTTTTATTCGAGGTTCACATGGGTCAACACGAACAAAAACCCGACATGAAAATAAATAAGTCAATCTACACCACGCGATTAGTTAAATAAATTGGGTTAGGGTTGATTAATGCTCGATACAAACTCCCAATAACATAACACAAATTCGGCATGACACAATTGCTCACCCTAGATATGATCGTCGAACAATGGATAAAAAATAAACCCCCCCANCATGGGTCAACACGAACAAAAACCCGACATGAAAATAAATAAGTCAATCTACACCACACGATTAGTTAAATAAATTGGGTTAGGGTTGATTAATGCTCAATACAAACTCCCAATAACACAACACAAATTCGGCATGACACAATTGCTCACCCTAGATATGATCGTCGAACAATGGATAAAAAATAAACCCCCCCATCTCCATTTTGAGTCTCCTTGACCACATAAAGCCATGTTTAACTGATGCTAAAATGTTTTTAATTTGTAGATGATTGTGAGGGATTAGAGGCTTGCACAGTCTTGAGTCCAAAGGACACATAGTTGGTACCCTTTGAAAAGGACTAATAGTAATCTTCAGCACAAGCACACACACACNATGCTAAAATGTTTTTAATTTGTAGATGATTGTGAGGGATTAGAGGCTTGCACAGTCATGAGTCCAAAGGACACATAGTTGGTACCCTTTGAAAAGGACTAATAGTAATCTTCAGCACAAGCACACACACACAATGACTTTCACAAGTTTTAACATATTTTATGTATGAATTAATTCAGCTATATAGTACTTCTTCACCCTTTGTATATTTCCTAAAGAATTATATGAGGAAGGTTTGAAAGATTTAGCATACCACATATATATGGGATGTAGTGACAAAAACTGTAGAGACTACCTATAAAATATTCACAAGATGCGCAGAAGTTAAGCACCCCATGAACCAGCAGCTTTTGGGTCACCGGGCTCCATTACCCAACAAGCTGTTGGTTGATGGTGAGCTGTGTTCACTAAACCAAGGGTCCTGCACAGAAACAGGGGAGCTATCCTGCACCTCCTCCATTGCACTCAAGCACTCAGGTGTCCTATGTGGAACCATCAATCTTTGACTTCCTATCCCTGCTTTCTTAGTTGTTGTTCCACCTAGTGATTTCTCACTCCCGGCATACATAGATGAACAAGAAGATACTGATGATCCCATGCATATATTCTCCTCCATCGGTGCCCACCCGCTGAGCCTAATCTGTTCTAGTTCATCTGCCACTTCCATCATAGAAGGCCTCATGTCCCTATGAAAAGCAAGGCATCTAAAAGCCAGCTCAGCCACCTTGAGTATAGATGTCAGCGTCCAAGCATCCCTGTGTAGCTCAAGGAATGGATCTACTATCTCCTCCACACGACCTTTACCAATCCTGTCGATTGCAAGCGCAGCCAAATTAATCTCACTGTGACCTCGAGAGAAATCGACCACTTTTAATGCGGTTATTATCTCTATAAGAACCACCCCAAAACTGTAAACATCACTTTTATCAGAAAGATGGTAGTTTTGATGGTACTGAGGATCAACATAGCCAGGAGTTCCTTGGGGTGCAGTGGAAATATGAGAATCATTAGTCATACCAAGTCTAGAAAGACCAAAATCTGCTACCTTTGAGTTGAAGTTGCAATCCAAAAGTATATTACTTGATTTAATGTCTCTGTGGTATATTGGTGGATTCATGGCTGAGTGGAGATGAGCAATTGCATGAGCAGTTTCAGTGGCAATGGTGAGACGTATTGTCCATGGAAGGCCCTTACCCCTTTCTCTCTGCAGATGCTGAGATAAAGTTCCATTGGGCATAAATTCGTAAACAAGTATCTGTTCACCTTTCTCTATACAGCAACCTAAGAGACGGACTAGGTTTGGATGGCTAACAGAGGACAAAAGCTTGATCTCATTCATGACTTGTTCAATGCCGTCAGTGTCTCGATGCCTTATTTTCTTAATGGCAACCCACTCATCATTGTGAAGCTTTCCCGCATATACTGTGCCATAGGCTCCAGTTCCTAATCTTTGTTTCTCAGTGAACCCATTTGTGGCTCTCTCTATTTCTTTGTAGGGGAAGAAAGGAACGCTAGAGCCGCCTGCAGCTTCAGATATAAGGCGCCTTGCACTCGTTTGGTGTTTCAATGAAGTTGTCCGTCTTCGAATGAAATAGCAGATCAAAGCCAGAATAGCCATTAAAGAAGCTCCAGCAATAACACCTAACAATGAATCAAAGAAGATAGTCATAATTGAATCAAAGAGGATAGTCATTGTGATTGTAAACCTAACTTATTGTTAACCCTCAATGCACAATTTTTAACATGGATTGTGTTAACCCAAAGTAACGACAAACTATCCATATCTAACAACAACATCATTGCTATTTATTTAGAAGAATTTTTCAGAAAGTCTTGTACACCAGATAATTCACTTGAAGTCACAATGACAAAACCAATTAACCAACCTAGCAACGTAAATTTGTTACATGTATCTCTGCTTTAGGCAACATGAATGCCAACACCACACGAATAAAACTAGGATTTAACATTATCTTGGTTTAAGTTGGGAGACAGGGCTCCATTCATCCACAAGGCACAATACATTTGTTTGGAACTCAAAACCATTTAAAAGCTTAGGTATACAGGTGGTGAGACCATTCATACNACATTTGTTTGGAACTCAAAACCATTTAAAAGCTTAGGTATACAGGTGGTGAGACCATTCATACTACATTAACACCTCCTCACTTCTTTTTTCTTCCCAGCCTGGGATTCGAACACACGATATCTCAAAAGCTTATAAATTTGTGCTCCTGGCATCAAGCAATAAAGCTAAGGAAGCATATACCACATGCAATAACAGAAGCTATTTCAATCTTCACACATTGAGCGCTCGTCATTCTACCACTTTGCTGAGTCATAACATAATAAACTTTTACAAGAAGGATTGGAAAATTCTCCCGTGATAAACAAAAACATTTTCCCATAATAAACATGTCAAGGAAATACATTTGGCACCATTATTTAAATATCAGGGCTCTGGAAAAATTGGGGAATGGGTGCTCCAAAGGGTCAAACAATGTATGACGCTGCCTCTGCCACACTTGAAAGTGACTTTACAACCCTAAAGAGTGTCATGAGAGGGAAAAGGAAACAGGGTGATCACAGGATGAGAAATACCTGACCACTTAAACAATGATGAAGCATGCCTAAATGTGATGACTGACGGACACCCCTTTTTGATAAAAACATTACGGAATGCAGAGAGCATTGCCATTTATTCCAGCGAACAAACAAAGTGGTATTCTTGAGCAGTTGAGTACTACTAAGATGCAATCTACTGCCATTTAAGATTAGAAAGATTACCTGCAACAAGAACACCAACCCTTGTAGTTCCTCCACATCGGCCTGACATGTACTTAGAAGGGTTGCAACGAGAAACTGATGACATGGAAATCAAAATATGAAAGTATTAGCAGATATAACAGAGGAACCGATGACATGGAAATCAAAATAAGAAAGTATTAGCAGATATAACAGAGGAAAATCTAGAAGGATAAATTCAGTTACTTCAGCAGTCATGCATCTAAGGATGCTTTTAATTTGCATGTTGGCAAAAGCATTCCGATGGAATGACAGCATTGAAGCAACAGAAAATGTATCATGTACTATAGTATAACAACTAATAACTGATAAGAGTATATACTCTGTAAGGTAATTGTTCAGATTATCATATGATTGACAATGTAGAAGTTTTTTGATTTTTCACATATTTTTGGGAAGGGGAAAAAAATACTCCAGAAAGAATAGGCATCATACTCAGGTTTTGAACAGAAACATGATGGTTCAGTTGGATTTTGTTTAAACTAGTTACACTATTTAGCCTGTCTGATCATTAAAAAATTATCCAAAGAAAGCTTTATCAAAATAATGTCGTCTTAATGTGAAGGAATTTCTGTTAGAAACTTGTGGAATATTTGGTGTTTCTACCACTTTGTTCGGGTGTGAAAAACAAGACACAGTGGCATCAGTATCAATGTAGTTTTTAATGTTTTTATGACATTTATACCCGCCAGTCTTGCACAAGGATATGATTCCTAGTGCAACAAGTGATAAGCATTGTCAGTAACTTGTTTTGTTTTTCTTGCGCCAATATTTCCTGTTCTTTTGAAAATTCCTCTTGCAAATTTCCTATCAATTAGGATCTCAGCATATGAATAAAGATTAGAATAGAGAAGAAGACTGGTCATTGGCCAGGCTCATGGTCCTATTAGTTTGCTACTTTGCTGTCTAGCAAAGACAATGTTTATCTACAACCACGAGCCTCTCTTTGACCTTTTCACATTTAAAATAGAAAGCTATCAAATGGCCATGTGCAGCATGCCACCATCTAATTAACACTCAATTGAGAAATGAATTGAAGCAAAGAAGGTTTTGACTTGGCGGATTATCTATTTGGCAAGTCACCATCCAAACCAGTAAAGATAATTTTTGAATGTTTCCAGGGGCAAATGCCCTTTTTTTGGCCTTTGTTGACCATTAGAAACCCCCGTCTACATACAACTATGCAGTTTGAAAAATCTTCCGAGGCACCAATATGAACAAATCTTACCCTCTACTGTCCAATTATGAAACTTGCAACACCGCCAGGCTGAAGACTAGTAACCATACAGCTGATTTCTACCCATTTTTAAAACCCACATTATCTCCTCCCCAACTATATCTCTTTCCTTCTTTACGCATACCAAAAAAAAACACTTTTCTAGCATTTGCTACCACCAACTGTATAATTATTTTCATATTACTAATATTTTTTACATTTTATAATAAGTTTGAGAAGATCAAACACAACGGGAAGCTCAATACATGAACAAAACAAAACACAAAATGCAGTGTCACGTATGCTAATTCAAACAATTTGAATCATTCTCCAAATAGTTATTTAAAAAAAGAATACCCAACATTCAACCATTTTGTATCACTTTAACAAGCTAACTTCCACATTTTTTCTAGAAGACTAAATTCATTGGGCTATAATGACCAAAATGCCCCCAAATATAAATTTCAGTTGCTATAGATTTGCCAAGAATATCTATGGCTATTTTAGTCATTACATAAGAAAATTTATGACCTTATGGCCACAACATTTCCAATGGGAATGACAAAGTTCACTGAGGTGGCGCCTTCTGATTGGTACGCAAACACAAAATGCGACACACTGTCAAAGGCATATTAGGCCATCCACCATGACCAAATTAAATAAGAATAAAATAAATGAAGAAAAACACAAAAGTAAATGCCTGGTACTTGGACTAACCTTTCCGGCAACCACCACCGCTGGCGAATCCATCTCCGGCGAACCCATCCTTACACGAGCACCGAAACCCTGTCGCTCCGTCGGGAAGCGAAAACTCCTTGCAAATCGTATTATTTGTGCACTGGCACTGCCCTCTCAACCACCACTGCAACTCCAACGTCTGAAACTCCAGCGACACCGCCGAATTGTTCCTCGAACTATTACTCAAATCGACAGCGATCGACGTGAACAAGACCTTACAATTGGTACTTCTCAAGTTGTTGAAGTCCATGATTTCTGAACCGCTGTACGCTTCTGAATAACAACTTATATTATCTCCCTTCGATTCACAATCCTGTAATTGGAACCGATTCTCCACCAGACTATATGGTAAGACACAATCATTCGACGGTGAGGTACAGTTTTGCAAGAGAAAACCATTCCTCCAAGACAGCGCATAATTGTCACCGTTCACTTGCCGGAGATCTTCGATCGGACGGTTGCATTTCGGCGGAATATTGACCAATATGTAATCTGCAGTCACATTCTGAACTTGAAATTCCCCAATTTTGATGTCTCCTTTTTCACTGCAATTTAACTGGACTCCACAACCGGCGGTGAACCCAAACGGCGACGGAAGATAACGATTTACTCTCCTGCCTCTGCAGTATTGACTACAGTGCGTTGAATTATCCCCTTCACTGGGTGAAACGATGAAGAACGAAAATACAAGTAGGAAAACTGTTGGTCGAATTCTCATCATCATCAACAAGGTGAATCGAAGGACTAAATTGGAGGTGAATGAAGCAATCATGACCTTTCCGCAAGACAAAAGAAAAGGAGAGGAGTGAAGAAAATTCCAAGTAATTGCGAGGACGAGAATTTTGACTTGTGATAATTTATGGAGGAATTGAAGGGTGTAGTTGATATTGTTGAGAATATCATGTTTTTCAATAAAGGCTCTTAAATTACCAAGTTTTATACTGAGGGTCTGATCTCGTCTGTACTTAAACTTAGACATCTTGAGGGAGATATTTATAATTTTTTTGGGTTTCATCACCAGAATTTTATTTTTATGAATTTTTTAATTTTAATATAAATGACTTATCTTTAACTAAATAAAAAATAATAATTTAAATATACATAACTTAAACTAAATATCCCTGACCGATGACAGTGATACTCAAAAAAAAAAAAAAGTAATGGACGAATTTGTCCGTGTGCATTTTTTTATGGCCGTAGTTGCTGATGGAAAGTGGAAATTTATGAGCTCTCTGAGCTTTAAAATCTAACGCGTTATGAGCACCCAACGGTCATCTATGTGGGCCTGAAATTAGGCTTTGCTTTGTAAACTGACAGAAAGTGTAGCATAGCATCCTCTGATACATTTTATCTTTCGCAAATTATTTATCATGTATTCAAATAAAATTAATTATAGTAAATTTATTTGTCCAAAAAAAAATATATTATAGGAGATTTAGATCCCAAAAAAAGTCACTAGGATATTCGGAGGGGGCACAAATATATTTTTTAATATCATATTTTATTTTTTCCATTAACCAAAACATGATATGTGTAAATTTTTTATATTTTGTTATTATACTTTATTTTTTTAAAATTAAATACACAGAATTATTTTTGTAATAATTTGAGATAGTTGTACCACGGTAAAGATTGTAGGATTTGTTCCTACCATATAGAACCTGGTCAGAAAGGGACCGAAGGACTAATCTCCTCCATGCAGTATGTAGAAGCTCAAACGAAAGATAAGACTTTTTACTGTGTTAAGTTTCTCGCGAATGCGTAATATCCAATTCATTGAGTTTTTTATACCTTCTAATAATAAGATATGTCGTGACGACATAACAATCCCATCAAGACGGCTGAGGGAACCTCCTCCATAGAGATAATCACCAATAAATTATACTTCTTTCAAATCGCATGATTATTAATTAATCTGGGAGGATGTGGCCTTGTAACAATTATTCTATTTAAAACGCTGAACGCTTAATACGTGTCCATGCAACATTTAATGACCTCTGTAGGACATTTATTCAGCTGTGTCAAGAATTTATTGTGTTAACACTAAATTTTTAGTTTGCGTGCACCCGTAAAATTCAAATCAATAAGAGTCATACATTTATCCAAATTTTATGAGATTCGATGTGCATTAACCTGTGTGTGGAAGCAATTGTTCTCTATGCGCCATTGCGTAATAGTGGACCCACATCCCTACTTGACGTTAAATGCTCAGCCTTGGGGTGCCCTTTTTACCCTTCACATGCTGGGGCATGTCCCTCTAGGTTTTGTAATTGATGCTTGCGGTGTTTTATTGTTTGTGTCTATGTGTTATGTTTTGGTATGAGAATCATTTCGCATTCCTAACAATCACAAATAAATCAACACAACGTCTATGTACATAACAAAATTCGATGATGTTACTGTAGTAATCTCCAATTCCAGGAGAAAGATTAGTAGTGCTCATCCCCAAATGGGATAGGGAAACATCCATTTTCCTCTATTCTTCACTTAGTAGATTATCTATCTTAATTAATGAGCAAAAGAAAAAAGTTTATTTATCTGAATTTTGAGTAGGTCTCACTATATATAAATGGTTCTTATTAAAACATAATGAGTGATTTATAATAAAAATAAATAAAAGAAAAAAATTATTAAAGGAGATCTAAATTTCGAAATGTCCATAATGGATGCATTTGCTATGGTTTGATATTAATATAACCTATTTGTCTAATGGTGGTTTATAAAATTTAGAGTAAATCCCAATTTGTCCTCTGAAATATACAAAAAATTTTATTTTGTCTTTAAAATGATTAATTTTTTTACATTTACCCTTCAAAAAAATAAAAATGTTGTAATATGGTATACCGTTTTATTTTCGTTTGGTTATCCATCTATTTTGTGTCAAATTAACCAATCAAAAATTGTATGATGAAAAATCAATGCAATGCTTATGAATAAAAAGACTTTTCAGCCCATTTGTTTGATTAGGTTATTTGGATCAAGTCTATTAATAACTTACATGTATGGACCAAATATATTATTATAATTGGATAAGCTGAAATTCCTACATTAGACAAAAACGTCTTTAGAAACTTCTTACCGTTCATCGTGTATTTTGAAACTATGTATCTATTTTTAATAGTCAAAAAAAATTAACTAGCGGCCCCTCGCCTGCAATGCACGCCTTTCTCGAGCTTTTGTGTTCGTAATCATATTGGGTCAACAGTATTATTGTCTTTGTGATTTTTTGTAATGCTCCGTTCGGTATTAAAAAAAAATAGAATGATAAAAAATTTAATAGGATGAAAAGTTGAATAGATAAATAAAACATCATATTTAGTAAAGAATGAAAATAGGAATGATGGAAAAATGGATAGATTAACTTTCCTTCCAACTTACTCAAATCAATTCTTCCAAAATTGAAAAGAAAATAGATGAAAAGTTAATTATTTGTGTTAAGATGTATCATATTTGTCTATATATCTTTTTATATATACGTATATTATGTATATATTAATTTCATATAAAAATACAATAATAAAATATACATTTATATATATATTTTAAATAATAAAAAAAAATTGTAACTTAAAAAAATATTTTTAACATCTAATATAACACGACTCGAATTCGACATAAATTTTATAACATGAACTTAATTAATTTGAACACAAAAATAAACAGATTAACTTGTAACTTCACATGACAAAATTAGTTAAATAAGTTGAGTTTGGTGTGACTATGGTCAACACAAATTCGTGACTCAACATAAATCTGACACGACACGACTCGATTGTCACCCCTAATCTTAGTCAGCACCAAAAAAAAAAATAGTTACTTTTATTTTTCATTCATCCAACAAAACACAAAAGAAGGAAAGTATATCATTCTTATTTTTATTCTTTAAAAAATAGAAAATATATTTTTCTTACTTTTTATCCTCCCTACTTTCCACCCTTTCCTACCAAACAGAAGATTTATCGTTGTTGTCGTCCCACGTACCTTATCATAAACTTCTTAAAGTGTCTGTACTGTTTCTTTAATCCTAAAGCACCGAACTAAGACCCCATCAAACATCTTGTAGTCAAAATTGCACATAATTTAGTGAAACACTTCAAGTCTTTCGTATTTTACATTAGTTATATAATTGTTCAAATTTGAAATAACTGCTAAAGAACATCCAAATAATGAATTTATTACCAATGAATTGGAAAAAAAAAAAAACAAATGGGATTTTAAAGGATTCTTTTTAGTAAGTGTACCACTAGAATCGAGATTTGAGTCCCATTATGTTTTGCATGCTTAGTTTTGAGAGAAAATAATTTTTGACAAAATTTGTTAAACTTATACAAATAATTAGTGGGAATTTGTGTCATAAATAGATCGACTTAGAGTCAAATGACTTAATACAATTAATTAAATAAAATTAATTCCACTTGTGGATCGTGAACTCAAATTTCATCCAAATAAGAATTATGTAGTCTGTCCCGACTCTAAACCTTGCAATTATAGACCTTACCCTTGAATGCAATACCTAATTAATTCAAGTAAATCTATTAGCCTCATTCAATCTATAGGTTAAGATAAACCTAACTAAATATAATACATGATTTATACACAATAAAAAATTTGACTGTGATGTAGTACATATAATAAAAGACTACATGACAAATCAAGACCGTTGAAAGTAGCATTGATTGGATAACAATTTGGACCATTAAGATTTCTTATTTAAATTGTGGTGAAAATTGATTCAACAGCTTTGAATTATTTTGAATAAAGTTTAAAGGCAAATTCTCTGTCAATTCTCAATTGACTTGATATTCTTAGGAATTAATAAAACTTTTGAAAATTATAATCTGATATTATTGTGGTAATCAACAAGTTATAGTTCATGTTGTTTTATCTCATTTCTCCATTCACACTTTCTTGCATCAGACTAGATACAAGTTCATTTTTACACAATTACAAAAAATTAAAATAAAAAAATAAATTTTGACACAACACGATTTAATCAAATAAGAGTTTAATAATAAAATCCATTAACAATAGACCTACAATAGGAAAAAAAATAGTGGGTATATCAGTGACACCACATTATTATTGACGCATGATGTCACAATCTAATAAAAGTATAATAAATAATCAAGCGAATCTCACTTATGTTAGTAAACACCCTATCATATTATTTAATAACTATACAAAGCGAGATTTACCTTGAATAGTTTGTAAATTGATGGCGATTCTATCACGGTAATGGCAATTGCGTCGTTTCATAGAAGTTTGACTTTGACTACAGTCTCTCACCATGTTCACGTCGGTCTTTGTACAAATAAAAAAAATGGAAACCCCACCACATTCAAATTATTTGACGATAAAAAACGTATCCCAAATGACTTGTGGACTGGCTCCGACCATTCCTCTTCCACATCTTTCGCGTTTCTAACACGGGAAAAGTTTAGGAATTAATAATAAAAAATAAAAATAAAAACTCGGTATTGTACCATTATTTATAATTTTATTAGGGATAATTCGTATATGATAACACAGTGCAATACAAATAATTTTAAGAGAGATATTAGTGACTGTTGGATGAGTTTATTTGAAATCATCGGATATGTTTATTAAATTCTTCCCTATTTTATATTATAGATGAGTATTTTTATTACTTTTATGGTAATTATTTTTATTAGTTACGTAGTTTTAGGATCCATCCTACGATACCACAAAAAAGATAAAAAAAATTATCACAAAAATAATAAAAACATCCGCCAGTGTCGTAAAAGCACCAACAAAAATTATAAATTAATCACAAAAGTTATTAAAACACCCATTAAAATTATAAAATTTGAAAGTATGGTATCAAAAAAAAATTGATACCATAGAATTCCTATGGTATCATGAGAAGTATTATAATATTATAGTAATAACCCGTGCCTGAAGGCACTAAGCAACTAAAAAATCTTGATTACCGGTTATGCAATATAAATATTTTAAACAATATTTTATT